CCACATAAACACACACACATACACACACACACACACACACACACCACAAGCACACACACGTACATAAATACCACCCATATACACATATGCACACATGTACCACACACATATATGCATATAAGTACATATACACAGAAATGTATGTTTGAAAAACATCAGCATTAAATAATGTTTTTTTCAAAAATCAGACTTTGAAATGGAGTCCAAACCAAAGTATTGTTTCTTTTCAGTACATAATATTTTTTAAAATCAATAACACTTACTCCATAGATTTCAGTTTCCATTGGGGCCAAGTTCAAGAAAAGTTTCTGTTGGCTTTGCTTCTTCAATTTAATTTACTGGTACTTATGTGCTACTGATGGGTATAATTGATACATATAATAAAATATCATGAGGTTCTTAGTTTACATGTCTCAATTCTTGGTAATCATTTGTAACAATAGAGGCTGCATGAAACAGTGGGGTTTCCTGGATGGGTGGTTAAACTTTTTGCTTCCCAGTCTTCTATCCTGCTCTTGCTTTCATTGCCCTCAATTACAATACAGCAGAGCTTCTGAGTGTCTCTAGCTTTTGCATCTTTATGACTTCCTTGAAGTAAAAGATGGACATGGAAAGCAAAAAGCAGGCTTTGTTTTCACCAGGGGATGAGAGTTTGCTGTAAGAAAACATACGGGATGATCTGGAAACTGAGGGGTCCTTTCCAGCTCATCCATCCTTCTCCAGTCGCCCTTCCTGGGTTTTGGCTCCAGGACACTCATGGCTCCACTGAGTCTGGTGCTCCTATGCTCACCCAATGGTTATGCCCACATGGATGTTGGCAGGAGCGCCTTCTAGAGTTTGACCAAGGCCACTGTCAGCACAGCAGGGTGGGCACAGTACAAGCCTCCCTTAGAAAGTCAGCCTGGTCTAAGCCAGACCCAGATGTAGGAGGCGTGGCCTCATGAGCAACAGCCTATCAAGATGATAACGCGGCACAGTGAAACTCCACATGAGTCACTATAAAGGGAGCTGCTAAGAGACAGGTGATAGGAAGGAAAATTTGGTGGCAATCATGATGCTTTATGGATGACTCAATGACTTTGTAACTTGAGCCTGCCATATTGAATCAGTTCCTAATTGGAATCTTTTTGTTTCACTGAAAAGTTGTATGTACAAACAACTTTCCTGAACAAAGATATTTTTGAGTAATTATATTTACCATGGTGGAAAATAGTTTCAAATTGAATGTCAAAAAGACATATTGAGTATTTACTGTGTACAGAATGCCGGTAGGCTTTGCAATGGATGGTAACTGCATTTGCTTGGCAAGGCTTGTTTAAGCCAGGCGACTTAAGGTAGGTCACTGTGGTACAGGTGTAAATAGTGAATAAAAAGAAACTTTCCTGAGGGTGGGGACATGCTAGCACAGGTGGGGAGGGCACATCATGATGCCCTGAGCATTCAAGATAGCTTCCTTCTGAAGAGGAATTCATTTGAATTCAGGTGAAATATAAGTTGGACTTTTCCAAAATAAACATGGCGGGGGCAGCATAGAGCACCGATGTTAGTTCCAGATGGAGCTTCACATGTGACAGGAAAGACACCTTGTAGGATCACAGAGTGATTCATTTCATAAAATCTTAATTGATCCAGGAAAGCCACAACCTTGTTTGATCACCCCCCAAAGGCCACAGCACAGGTAATACCATCACTCTGGGATTAGGATTTCAATATATTTATTGTGTTGGGCACAAAGATTCATCATATTGGCATGTGGCTTTTTCCATATGAGTTGCATCTGCACATGGCCACTGTGTTTGTGACCAGTGCAGCTCTGGTCTACATCTCCACAGCTCTGAAGAAAAGAGATCCCATACAATAATTGTTGAACAGATCTGTATGAGTTCTGCTGGCTCTCACAACACTGGCCTCCACGAGTAACTACTGTCATGGCTGATTTTAAGATGCCTGGCTTTCCCGGTCTGGGGTTCCATCAAAGCCAGTCCCAGAACTCCAGCATAATATCACTGAGCTGGAGGATGAGTAGTCATAATTGGAGAGATAGCTGGTGATGGTCATGGGGAAGGAGAATGCTCCCGAAAGAAATGACAGTCAGAAGAAGAGGGATGGGAGACTGGGAGCCAAAAAAGCTTGTGTGTTTTAAACCCCATCCTCTCAGGATGGCCTCAAACTGACTTCGTAGCCAAGGCTGGCCTTGGATTCTGGATTATTCTGTCCCTATTTCTCAAGTGCTGGGATTACATCCATGTGCCACTAGGCCTTGCTCTAAATATTCTTATATAATTTCTTTGGGTAATGTTTTCAAGATCCCCTGAACAGTATTATCCCTTTCTTTTATTGTTGAAAACTTATGCCACTAGAATTATGAATGGTTTGTTGGCCATGTGAATTCCTAAAAGTCACTTTGTAAAGTTACTAAAAATGTTTTTTGAGTTACTTTGCTGAAGTGAAATTGCTGGGTCAAAGGAATGACCTTTTAATACTTTCAGTACATACCCTTCCATTAATACACAGAAGAGATTTTACCTCATTGTGATGTAATAAAGTGTGTCTTAAAAATGGTAAGACTGGATTGGCACATTGTTCTCTATGACATTTGTTTGAATTCCTGGCCATGTGTAAAATGCTGGCATTCTTATGATAGGCATGTTTTCTGTACTACACTTTCTTGTTTCTCACTTTGGTGTGTGTGCACAGCTACACCATTGCTCCATCTCCATGCACATGGTGCTCTTAAATTCGCACAGATAATAATTGATACTGGAAACTCTAGTACAGAGTATAGCTTGGCAAATGCTGAGTGGCTCCTTTGTAGAAACTTCTAGTTTTGCGTCATTTCAGTTGGACACTGGATGCTCTACTAGCTCACTCCTAATTCGCGGAATTAACAGAGTGAAAATTTGCTTCTTATTCACAAGGATACTCCGTGAGGGGAATTGTCCTTGAAGTCATTTAGAGACAAGAATTCCTTCTGCCCATGACCTTACTCTCCTCAAGGCCTGTGCAGTTGTTTTCATTCTGTGCAAGGGTGGTGAAAGACAATCGGGACATGTGGAAGAATTTCATGGGACAGATCTGGAGGCTCACTGTTCCACCGGCTTGTGTTCTGCTGACTAACACTCAATTCCATGGCCATACGGATTGCAAGGGAGAAAAGAAGTGTTGAAGGACATGTGAATACCTAGGTAGTCTGTTGTATTCTGGGACTCGTGACTATGTCTCAATGTAGAGCACCCAAATTTCTTGGATAGTTTACAAAATTTAATATTGAAAGGAAATGAAGAATATTGATAAGAAGGGCATAGCTTTTAACAGACCTGATTGGTAAAGACATGACAGATTGGCCATCAAATGGAATTTGGTTTATAAAATGGAGAAAGATAAAAGTTGTTGAATAAAATGATTTGGTTCCTAGTTGTGGAAGCATGTAAGAAGATGAAATGCACAAGGGATTTTATAGGGAATTTATGTTTAATGGACAAATTTGGTGACCTACAAGAATGACACTTGTTTGAATGGAATATTTTAATGAAGGTCTCCATAACAGCATGGAACTGCCTACATATTTGAAAGTCATATATCTGAGGAGTCTACTATCTTACAGCTCAATAGCAGCAAGCCATCAGAGTGAGAAATGAGCTGCACCATTTCTCTAAAGACTAATGGTCAGCTGACAGGTGTGTGAGAAGTTGCTGAGCACTGAGACATTTAAAGCAGAAACACTATAAGATGCCATCTTCCAGAGACCAGAAGACATCACTCTGGAGGTGATGGAGCAGAAGGGAGAAAGGTTTCCATTTGGATGCAGGAAGAAGGCAATATTAGTCAGCATTGTGAAAAATGGCACAGATGTTTCGGAGGAAATAAATCATAGAACCACCATGTTACCCAAAAGAACTGAAATCACTATCACCTACAGAGATTTGCAGTTTCATTCTCTTTGAAATGTTATTAATGATGCCATGGTATGGAAACTGCCTGCGTCCTCCTAAGGGTCAGATGTATAAAGAAGCTGTGGCGTTTATTTGTATATACTATCACAATGGACTTTTTAAAAGGGGGAGATTATGAGTTGGGCATAGTAGCTTTTGCTTGTAATGTCAGCACTTGAAAGGTTGAGACAGGAGGAATGATGCAAATTTCACCTAGTCTGGGTTAAACAATAAGTTTGAGGCCAACCCAGGTTATATAGTAAGATCTTTTGTAAAAAGAAAAAATTATCCTAGTTGCCTCTAGTCTTAACCCAGAGGAGATTCCTTTAAGTGAGAAATCAGACACAGAAGGAGACTATCCCATAATATCACTTATGTGTGGAAGCATTGAAGAAAAAAAGTCAAATCTAGATCAATACAGAACAAGGCAGTTTGAACTGGGTGCATGGGTGGAGAGGTAAGAGTTCAAATACACAAATCAGCAGACCTGGGAAGAGAGAGTCTTCAGCTGTAAGGTATAACATGTAAACTGTGGACTGGTGTCGTGTCAGGTGTGGCAGAGCAGGTGATCTCTGCTCCCTTGTAAGCAGAGTGTGGATAATGGGAATGATTGACACATTAGTTCGCTTCTATGGTAACCATTTTATTTGTTATACCCACCTCATAATTTCACGCTCAGTACCTCACATGTAAAGGATCACCATGGAAACAAAAGCTTTGGTATGCTTGGAGAATTACTAAGGTTGAACTAATTGGCATGGTACGGTTCATGTAAATGTGAGTGGCACCATTACATGGGCTGGGTGAATTTGGAACATAAGAGGAAGTGAGCTGGGCATGAACAGTCATCTCTCTCTGCTTCCTAACTACAGATGCAGTGTGACCAACTACGTCAAGCTCCTGTTGCCACGATGACCCACCACGCTGGCACAAATTCCTTGCAACTATGAACCAAAAATAGACCAATCGTTCTTTCAGTTTCTTTTCTCAGGTGTTTTGTCACAGAAAAGTAATCAAGACAATAAGCATGGCTCTCTGAGCTCTTTCTCTTGTTTCTCACAAACACAGGTGATTAAAGTCTACAGCGAGGATGAGACCAGCAGGGCATTAGAAGTGCCCAGTGACATCACCGCCCGAGATGTTTGCCAGCTCTTGATCCTGAAGAACCACTATGTGGATGACAACAGCTGGACCCTTTTTGAGCACCTGTCTCACACAGGTGTAGGTAAGGACACAGTAGTCCCCTTACCTTTTTCATTGGGACCCATTGATGATGGACAAAGAAAGTACAGAGCAGGAACAAAGGTAGAAACGTTGCAAATTTGTTACCCTCCTTAGTTTAATCGTGATATTGATCAATTTCAGAACCAAAACAAGGAGTTAAATTTCATAGTTAAATCTCATACAACAGGAAAACCTCTCAAGAAATTAGAAAAAGATTTTGTTTGGTCTGCTTTTGAGTTGATTGGGAGAATACCCTCTAGGTTTTTCTTAAAGACTTAAACATAATAATCAAACTTAAAAACAGTGATCTTTTCTCAAATATTTATGGGATACATCTCTGGGTTGTGAATTGTGAAGAGAGTTTTAAGGTCTTCTTTTAGTTAAATATAAACAATTGATTGCCCTCTAGAGTGAGAACAGGGTTTGGCAATAATTTTATTCTCTACTTTCTTATTCTTAGAAGTACTTAGGTGGGAAAGCATGCTTTTGTCTTTAAGTGGATGAGAAAGGAAGGAGTGAGCTATGGCAAGCTATTTCATTCATTCAGCTTTGTGTTGTGTTCACATGGTTGCTTTAACAAGTTACCAGGAACTTGCCTGCTTATAACAATGCTACCATCTCATGCTTCTGGGGGTGTGAGGTCAATGCCTTTGGTCGAAATCAAGGTTTGGTGATTCCTTTGGTGGCTCTAGGATAGACTTTTTTTCTTTTTTTCCTTTTTTCCAGCTTCTCATGGCTGCTAGCATTCTTCAGCTTGAAGACTCATCACTCTGATGAGCCTCCTTGGTCCGATAGCCTAGTCCCCTTCTGTCTCTAATAAGTCTCCGCTGTCTCAGCAATGTTTAGGGTCTCCCACATCATCTACAGCAGTGCTATAATTTCAGATTCCATATGTAACCACACCTGCAGTCTTATGTTTATCTTCTGAGGGCAAGTGTTCAATGTGCCACACACTGTTTCTCTTTTTATCATCTAACTGTTACTAAGCAATCATCAAAATGATTTCTTATAGCTTGCTATTGACAGCATAATTACTTCCAGTGATTTATTTAGAGAGCTGTAGATGATTTTTTACATTCATCATGACAGTCCTTCACTTTTTGACATAGCTTCTTGATGGGGGAAATCCTTTTGTGTATATGTCTGTCTTACTGGCTAATGAATAAAGTACTATTGGCCAATAGTGCTTTATTCATTAACCAGTTTGGTAGAGCGTGAGACGCTTAATCTCAGGGTCCTGTGTTTGGACCCCACGTTGGGCACCATATTGTTTCGGGATTCCCACCCTGTGTCCCGTCGATGCTTTAACCCCCAAAACAACCAGAGACTCTATTAGTTACCACCATACTGCCGGCCTATGTCTAGGGCTTTTTATTGGCTAGTTTTGTCTTAAGTATTAACCCATGACTACTAATATATATTTCTAGAAGGACTTATCTTTCCAAGGACGACATCCTGAGATGTCCTCTCTTCCCTGGAATCACATGGAGACTCTACTAGACTTTTGACTACATTTCCCAGAATCCTCCTCGACTTCTAGTCCCACCTATCTTACTTCCCTATTGGCCAACAGTGCTTTATTCATTAACCAGTAAGAGAGACATATACACGAAATTACTTCCCCCATCAACTACTGAAGTATAAATTTTTTACCTTGTTTTATTTATTCTGGGGTTTAGATCCCAAAACAGTATTCCAAAGTTAGGTCCAGTTGCCTTTTCTCTTGTGAGATGAAACTGAAAAATATGCTGCTGCTGCAGGGTTATTTGATAGACTTGCTTTAAAAAGATTGTGGAGCTGGGGAGATGGCTCAGTAAAGTGCTTGGGGTACAAACATGAAGATCTGACTTTGATTCAAGCAGCCACTACGAAACTGGATGTGGCTGTTTGCATTTGAAACCCCGATGCTGGCTAGGTGGAAACAGTAGATCCCTGAAGCTTGTTAGCCAACAGGTCTAGTTTATCCTGCCAACTTTAGGTACCAGTGAGAGATAATCTTAGAAAAAAAGCCTTCATCCAGTAATTGGTGGTACCAGACACAGATATCACAACCAAGAGCCAGGCTCAGCTATGGGAATCCAAGGGAAGAGAGGAAGGAGGGAATATATGAGCAAGGGAGGTCAAGACCATGATGGAGAAATCTACAGAGACAGCTGAACCAAGCTTGTGGAAACTCATGAACTCTAGACCTACAACTGTGGAGACTCCAGGGGAGTTAAATAGGGCCTCCATATGTGGGAGACAGTTATGAAGTTTGGGACTAGTTGAGGGGTCCCTGGAAGTAGGACTAGGATACAAACCCAGGACATGAATTAGTTTGTTGGAGCCCATTCCCTATAGTGGGATGCCATGCTCAGCCTTAATGCATGGGAGAGGGTCCTAGCCCTGCCCCAACCTATTGTGCTAGACTATGTTGACTTCTCATGGGAGCTCTTACCTTTGAAGTGGGGTGGACTGGGGGTGGTCTGGGGGGAGTGAAGGGGAGTGGGAGGCCAGGGGGCAGGAGGAGGTATGGGAGAACTGTGGTTGGCATGTAAAATGAAATTAAAAATTACAAAATAAGTGTTGGAAGACTTCCTCTCAGTGAAGACAGTTATGGGATATGTCTGGTCTTCAAAGAAAGGATGGGGGTATTCTTGAAGCCTCAATGGGGACACAGCTGCTTTCTGCCACCATGGTCCACTGCTTACAACAACTGAGTGTGGAACACGTAGAATCTTTTGAGGATATTTGAATTCTGAAGGTGGGCTAGACTGGCCTGTGACATCTCCTGCCTCCACAGACAGGAAAGCCAATCCATTGGCTTTGGCCATTGCCAATTAGGGTGAGTTTAACTTCTGCTCTTGAGAATTCCCAGGAAACCTCGTGTTAACTTTCAGTAGATTCTTGCCATATTCCAGACAGTTTCATTACCTACTCAGTTATTAATTAACACAACATATAAGTGCCAAATTGTATACTTTAATCTTATTATATTTCCATCTTTGGAACTTTGGAAATATTTTGTATTATAGTCACCACAATTTACGCCTAAAGAACAGCTTCAAAAGTCAGAAATAAAAATCTGTTCTGTAAACAAAGGGGCCATGCTCACAAAAATCTACCAAGTGTTTATACTAGGGAATGAAGTTCACTTTTACATGCAAAAATTTTCCACGAAGCCTTTGGCATTGTTGTGAGTTCCACACTGAGTTCAAATTTTTAGACATTGATATGATGTGTTCTTTGTGGCTTTCATGTATTTGCTAGATATCGCTGAAATGAAGTCAAGCACTGGAACGTCATCTCCCAGATTCATCAGTCATAGACAAAAGGCTATGGAAAAGACATTTCCTTTTGGACCTCCAGTGTGTTGATTTTCTTTTGGCCTTGTACCCAGATTACATATCCAAACAAAGTAGTCACAAACACTGCTTTTACCTGAGTCCTAAATGACTGAGCAGTAGGTGAGGAGGCTGCAGCTTAAAGGACTGTAGTCTTCCTCGGCATCAAACACAGGCAGGTGTATCTTGACCGTGTTTGCTTTGGAGACCCTCATTGGTATTCCATGCAGCAGTCGGAGCAACGTGTTTGCATTTGTTCCCCCGGTAGGTTGTAAAAGGAAGTGGGGAATGCCTGTCATTATGCAAAAAAATATTCCGTGGTTTTATTGAAGAAAGTAGGGCCTTAGTGCCCCCTAGGGAAGTGCTGGATCAAGAGCGTGCACTCTCCATCCTGAAAAATACTTCTAAACGCAAGAGCAATCAGCTCCCTGTAGATGATTGAGAGATAAAAAGATTCTGATTTAGATACAAACAATTTTACAACACTGAGATGACTTCTATTAGCATTGTAGGACTCTGGATATTTTCTCCCTCCACCCCATCACTTTCACACTATGGAACCCGGATTAGCCTCGAGTTTGCCAGCATCCTACCTCAGTGCCCCCCAGGCCTGGGATTACAGGTGTCTGCTTCTACACCTAAGTTAGCTAGTCATTTCAGCACAGTCGTTATTCGTATTTATTTGCATAAACGACTTTATTTTAGTCCACCTGAATGAGTTCGTGGGAGTTTTAAGCCTTTCCCCTCTCTTGCATATCAGAAAAATCTCCTCTCCCATGGCTTCCTCTCCTGAACTCTCCAGCAACTATTCATAGACAGTTCTGTGCCTGGCAACTTTGAACCCAGTATCCGAGCTTCATTCTGGTGCCAGCTCACAGGTCGGTTCTTTTTTTTTTTTTTTTTTTTTTTTTTTTTGTCAGCTAAAGAATTAAAAGACAGCGCTGGGGACCACTGAGTCTAAAGAGGTTTGGGCTTTTATCCGGACTTAGGGTGGCCCACCGCTTCATTTTCCACCTGGTTCTCTGTGATTTACCATTGTCTGCCCTGCGCACTGTTCTGGGCCAGGCAGAGGGTCTGTCTCTGCAGTTGCTGATTGGCTGGGACGAGACTGGGTGCCCTTGCCGTTCTGCTGGTGGCAGGTAGCAGGTACAGAGAGACACACCGCCTGCAGGGAAAAGGGCTGTGCTTAGGAGACACAGAAACTTATGCTGGCAACAAAAGAGCCACACCACAAAGAAAGAAACTCTGCTCGTTGCTGGGAGTTCTCCCACCTGAGGACCCGTGGCCTCAATAGCCTGTTCCCAAAATATATACTGCTGAGAATTTTAATCTACTAAATCATTGAGAGAAGTAAATGTCCTCACTCGGTGTTAAGTCTTTGACTTGTCCAATGGCAGAATATAGTATGACACGGTTCTGATAATGCAGTTTTACATACAGTAAGGTTAAAACTTCACTGCAGCAACACACGCCCATAGAGCCCTGCTTTGTACTTTCCTTGATAGCCACTGGGTGTCACTATAGTTCCCCAGATGGAACCTTCTGCTGTTAGAATCAGTGGAACTGTGTGTGTGTGTGTGTGTGTGTGTGTGTGTGTGTGTGTGTGTGTGTGTGCACACTGGGTGTGGCTTCAGCTTCAGCTCCTCTGGAACGTAAGGGGTTCTGTGTTTGTCTGGCT